ATTAGCGATGTGGTCATGTTACGTTAATAGACAAACTATTAGCTCGTAATTTTCGTCGAAACGAGTTCGAGTCCGCCCCGACCTCATTAAACGTTAAACGTACTTTCAAAGAGTCTGAAATTAAATTCTCGCGACAATTGAATTTTTTTTCTGCACGAACGATTAACTTCCAAAGAGCAACGCCAGATGCGCCGATTTCCGCTGTAAAACGGAAAATTCACCGGTCTTTAATAGCATCCTGCGCTACTTCGAATTTACGAAGGTGCCATGTTGATTTGTATCACGTCTAAGAGATGAGATTACGTCCGCTCCTGAGAGAGTGGATCCTGTAATTCCATATCTCCTGAGCTCACGGTTAAGCGACGGATAAAATGCTAAGCACTTTATCCAAACGAGCGTGGCGAAATGTGATTTGCAGCGTTCATTCCGTTGTCCGGACGATATCAGGAGATCTGCTTAATTTAGTAGCTTTAATTGCATCTGCCGCTGTTTTGCAAACACGCGGCGACAAGAATTATTATTATATATTCGTCGAAATCCCATTCGGCTTCTTGGTCCCGGCTCGCTTACGTATTCCCATTAAGGCGCGGTAATCTCTTTCGGAACGGATTTAGGTTAATTAACAAAATCCCTGGAAAGCGCGGGAGCGAATATTCCTCATAAAGCGGACTCGTATTAGCGGTTAAGAATTGTATTAAAAAAAGTGCCGGTACACATTTCGACCAGCAGCGCGTTAAGCCTCGGAGGGGGTAACGCATTAACCTAACGCGAATTAGCCAAGGCTCCAAGGCGCCTCTGTCGAGCTGGTGGTGGATCCTGCGGGGGTAACGAGGCATCCCTCTTATTGATTTGTCGCGCAAATTTGTATGCGGCATTGGTAAAATATCGCGCGATGCCGCATGAATATCGCATGAAGTCGAAAGCATTCGAGTTGAGCCGGTGGCAAATTTTCTTACACAGGTAGCAGTCGGCTCTCGCACCAAGTCTCTCATTCATTCGATAAACATTCATTATCGTACACGAGTGCGCGGGTATGTGCTCTTTAATCGACACTCTTTTAACAGAGTGCCAAATACGTATGTGTTCAATTAAATTTCCCCGCACAGCACAGTACGATTCGCGTCCTTGCGATCCGTCGCGAGTCGACTTTCGATCTGCGATCGCCGTCGCGTTAATATCCTCGATCGACTCGGCGAGTCAAGTTAGATCAGTTTTCGTCCTATTCCGCGGAATCCCCGGCAAGAACTTGCCTCGCGTTCGAAAATCGCCGATTCCTTTCTTCTCCGAGGCCGGTGAGTTCCTTTTTACAACTTTGCCGGTCGTACATTGGTTAAATTACTTGTGGCCCGGGGCTCTCGCTGTCTGCCCACCGACCGCAGGATGCGTCGTACGCACGTGTGTGCGAGCGAGTGTGGGCGCACACACAGAAGAGGCATTTAAGTCGGTCTCGGGCCTCTGTACAGAGATGAATCCGCCCAAGACATAAAGACCAGACGGTCCTTTGGGTTCGCACATAATGAGAGTTGCTCTCGATGGTAGCTCGGGTAGGCTGAGAAGTCACGCGAGTTCGAACTTTGAGAACAATCAGAAATTTATGCGCGCCTCCTCGTATGGTAATGTCAAAGCGCGGATCCGCGCTGAATGAATTGTGCCCTCAATTTATAATACAAGGCTCCCTCCCTTCGCCAGCGGGCGTAAATTACGCGCCTCCGACTCACGGTGCTTATTTTCATGGACCTTTTCACGCGTTAATGCTGCGAATTGACCGCGACTAACAGCGACGCGGTGTACAAGCGGCCTTTTTGTGCAAGATTGTGTTATTATTTCAATACAACGAATTTCTGCAGCCGCAGGAAAATCCAGGGACGCTAAATTTAAAGAAACCTTCTCCTCTGTGCGAGTGTTTGCTTCAACGCGAGGCATCCAACGCAACCTGAACACAGTTCTCTCATTTCCTGCTTTTAACTACTCCGTTAAGAATACGCGCATCATTCGGCGAATCGTAAGCGAAATGCAATGCGACGTGAGCTATGAACGTTTAAAAGGATTAGGTAACTAGTGTGCACTTTCGCGTGTGGTTTGAAATGTCGCCGAGAATATTGAAAAAACGTGCACTCCGCGCTTAATCCCGTTTCTCCTCTCCTCCCCTTCTCTGTCTCTCTCTCTCTCTCTCTCTCTCTCTCTCTCTCTTTCTCTCTCTCTCTCTATCGTCGGGATCCTTTACGCTGAGAGCTGAAGTTCCCAATAATTGCGCGGCGACTTGCGGTACTTGCGAATCTAAATACAACACGACGACGCAAGTGTGCACCGTTGATGTCGAGTTGATCGGAGGCGAACGGCTGGCTGAATGTCGGTATGTCCGTTCGAGTTCCATCAAATAAACAGCAGAGTATGGCGGAACTATTTAGAATTTAACACCGCGGAGGCGTACCGCGGCGAGAGAACTCTCAAGCGTGGTGATTCTCGGCGCTTGGCCCTCATTCGCATACGGGCGAAACAAAACATCGGTTTAATCGCGCCGCGCGCTCGTGACTACATTCGCTATTCGTTGCCGCCACTCTCTTTTAGGGTAAACACTGGGTCAGTTTGTTTCGTAAGCGGCATTCGGTATGCATACGAGTGCTCTCGCCAATTTACAATCTGCCTGCATTCGAAGCGATCCCATCGTAACGCAAACTCTACTGCCCTATAGCGATTAACGCCGGCCACCCCGGCGTAGCGTAAGCGCGTTTTATTCTTTACGAATTGCATGGAAACTGCCTTTCTCGCGACACGCGTTCGACACGCGATGGATTTTTCTCCTCTCAACTGCGTTCTAGAATATTTTTGCGACGAGGAGCGCGTGAAACTCATGGAACTGCAAGAAGAGCTTCGCCTACGTGTCGGGCTGAGAAGCGCTTTTACACATGCGTGCATGATGTTATCCCTCGGAACGACATCGAGGGAATCAGCGGAATCTCGTTTGATTCCGCTGATTCCGTCATTTCTCAGCGACAGATCTGATATATGAAACATGCGGAAATGCGGAAATTATAATGGGAGGAACGGCAGGAGATTGGGAAAAATCTTGTTCCTTATAAAATTGAGTAATTTTATATTACAGCCGCGAACACGGTCGGCGTAATATATTATGGTATAAGAAGATTGTGTGTGTGTGTGTGTGTGATCTAGAAAATAATCTCGAAAATACGCTGCGAGATTGAATCGATTCTCCGATCGACCGAGCGAAATCCCGCGATTCGCCGCACTGCACCAACCCGAAATTTCTCGCGCGCGCGACGTACACATTCTTTCCACGTCCGCCTATCCTCTAAGCAGCTTTCGCTCGCTCAGCGGTACTCAGCATAATTATCTGTATAATTATTAAGCGCGGGACAAGATCCGATTACCGTTATTAAGTTTCGAAGTGCAACATGAGTTGCGTGTCACAAGGAGTAAGTATTTCGTATACGCTCGGAGCGGTACAAATTGTTGGAACGCGTATGGTAGTTAGCTCGCACTGCCAGAAGATGTTCAAAGCCTCTACGGAGCGCGGCATCTGACAGCGGTTTCGGCTTGTCGCTGGAGGACCGTGTAACATTGTCGTACGACGGGGAATTTGCGGCCTCGCACACGGAGATCAAGGGTGACACTCGGGAAGCCAGACAGAATGTTCGGACGCGTAAGGTATTTTTATCAGTTCAGCTGCTCGATTAAGTCCGTTTGCGCTCTCGGCTCGAATTGCGCCTAATTACCGGAAAAACGATGTAATTCAGACGGGGCGAATGTGGAGAAATTGGCAAAAGTTTGATCGCGCCGGGTATACCTAAATGATCTGCCTATACGTGTAGACTTACGTATGTCCGCGCGCGCGTGTGTGTGCTTTTGTAAAGCGGGATGTATCCTGCGGATTCAGAAGGCAGTAATTTCGCCATAATCACCGTAGCTCCTGCGAAGCTTAACTCGTCGCTCGTGTAACCAGAGATAGCTAATATGAGGTCGGCCAGCACCGTCTGCGTCGGCGCATTCCTCAATTTTTCGGCGGGCGAGAGATGCACACGTATCGTTTCTAAAGCGTTTCAACGACAGGGGGAAGATGGCTGCGGGCGGGGAAGAGCCGGCGCTGCCGATGGAACTATAAATTTCAAGCCGGCAGCTCCGAAAATCCCCGATGCAACGTGTTAGTGACAGCCGAGGGAGTCCGAAAAATTCGCGTGAACTTTAAAGCCCGCTCTTGTGTGCGGGCACACTTGTTTAATTTGACGCGAATTTCTGCAGAATCCTATCGTGCGTAGCTTCTCGCATGGCGCGTTTCCCGCCGGCAATGAGATGAAACGACAGTTTCGCGCGAGCGCGAGCGACTGTAACGATACCGACAGATCATGACGCGTTACAATGTTTTTACGTTCCATCAGCTGCCGCAATAACGGAAAGTGAGGCATCTACGAGAGACCCGATAAAAGATTCACGGGAGAAAAGCGATTGTAGAAATTAACTTGCAGAGAAGTGGCGAATTTTTGCGTTGGTTTGCGTTCGGATTACGGTCACGTTCTTGCCCAATACCTCCTCGCCAATGAGATTCGAGGCAGACGGAGATTCAGTGCAATCCCGCGGTGGACTACATTATCTCTTTAACGTTATCTCTGGATTACGGTATCGACAATCGGACATGAAAATCAATTGTGTACGGGGCGGGCGGATAACGACGCTGGATCTGCGTTTCGAGCAAGAAGCAGCGTTCATCCCTCTCGCATACGTTAATTCTCTCCTTCAGTCAGACATAACATAATTTTTACCCGTTTATTTTAATCCTCCCGACTACTGTTCATTTCGTCCGCATTGAGCATTGAACTGTACTTGTCCTCCTTTCACCATCGCGCGAAAATCCAAATGTTTTGTCGCCAAGCGTCGAATAACGGCCACGACATAACGCGCGAAAGTTCCGCGTAACTTCCGCGAAACGTCGGCAATTCAGCCCGTGAATTCACGCTCTCTCTCTCTCTCTCTCTCGAAACGCTTACCTTAGTGTCGTTGTGAATCAGCCGCAGCCGAAAGTACTTTGAGACGTTCAATTCGTTGACACGATCGACCGCCAATTTGGCCGCTTGGAGCTCGTTGGATCCTTCCGGTCTCGGCACCGCCCCGTGCGTCATCTCAAAGAGACCCAGGATGGTTATATTTATCTTCTCTATCGATTTCGCACTCGACACTGTTACACCAATATCCATCCTCCCCGGGTCGGAGGAGTCGTTTCCGTGGCGCGTCGCGCTCTCCAAGTCCGCGCCGTCCGTGATGTCCGCAGTCGTCGTGAATTTTTCGCCGGGGCTGGGCTTGACAGCCGGCGAACTCGGCGAGCGTCCACCCGAAGAGGCGCCGGGCAGCCAGAAGGATTCCTCGAGGGTGTCATTCCGTTTCTCGTCTCTCTCGATCACCCCGTCGCCCGAGCCGTTCCCTTCGGTCGTCTCGATCACGTCATCGGAGGCAGCGTTAGTCTTGCGATGACGATGAGGCACATCCCTGGCGGGACTCTTCGGCAGGTCCGGGGCCACGGTGCTCGGGTACCACGTAGATGTTTCGTCAAGCACGTCCTCCTTGTGCGGGCCGAAGTGTCGCCTGTCAAACTTTTCGACTTGCGCCACCGCCGGCGTCTTCTGATTGACTTTTACAGGAAATTTCTGAGAACCCTCGAAACCTGTGAAAGGCGCTTCGTTGTCGACGTCGATATCGGTATCGCTGTCGTTGGCAGGTATCGTGGATACGTCGTTTACTTGGGAGAAACCCCCTACCCCTCGCACGCCGTTCGACCCATCTGCCAACTTTTTCGCCCGAACTATCCGAATATCGTTATCATCCGACTCGCGGCATACGCTGTCGTGTGCACACGCGATGCTGTTACCTTCCGTGCCGCCGAGGCTCTCGGAGAAATCATCGGCGTACACGGACTTGCCGTCGCTCCCGTTCTCGCTCGCAGAGTTCTCGTCGAACTCGACGCGCCCGACGATCGGGTCGCTGCCGTCATCGCCGAAGTCATCGTCGAGAAGCGTGTCAGCCGCGGTTGCGCCGACGTCCGGATCGCTCGGCGAGTTCGTGGACACATTAGCCGCGTCGAGGTTGTTGCCCTCGCCGAGGTAATCGGCGATCTTGCTGCCAGAGCCGTCGCGTGTACCGATCACGACGGCGCTTCGATTATCAAGCGGATAGATATTACGAGCGTCTAAATGAGTTTGCCTGGTGGCAAACTCGAGAAGACCGGCAGTCTCGCCGTCTCCTCCTCGTGCCGTCCCCGGCGAATCCTCGTCGCGGTTCCTCGCCGCGGCGCCGTCGATATCGCCGCGCCCGCTCGAGGCCTCGTTTCCACGCGAACTCCGGTAGGCCAAATAATAATCGCTCGTGCGTTCATCGGCACGATTAACTAGCGTTTCGCCGTCTACGTCGGTGCCGACTTCATTACGATCTTGCCGGCTGGAGGGAGTAGTCGTCAGCCCCCGCGGCTGATTGATATTTGAAGACTCGCGCGAACCCGACTGATTCGGATAATCGATCGGGGCTCTGATTAACTCAGCCTCCGCGTCGTGTTCATGAGCGGGGCTCTCGGCTAAATCGCTCGCACTTTGACCGGGCCCGTCTGAAATGGCCAAACTTGTTTCATTATCGCTATCTCGATTGTCCTGGAATTGGATCTCGCTCACAGCCTGCTTCTCCGAGTAATAAGGAGCGGTTTGCGACACCGGCGCGTCGCCACCGCCGCGTTTACCCGCCGAATGGTCCAGCCAGTTCTTCGCGCTCCCCTTACTTTGTCCCATGCTCCCGAAATCGATCGCGCCGCTAGCCCGCCGATTCTCCGCGGTAACGTCCAGGCGATCGACGGCTTCTCGTCTCGGATAATTAATCGCAGTCTCCGACTCACGCACTCGGTCACTGATAGCGCTCACGAGGCTACCATCGCCGGTGTAAGTTCGCCCCGTCACCACTCGACCGAACCCATCCTCGCGGCTTCGTGCGTCTTCTAGCGAATCGCTGGCTCGACGATAATCACCACCGGCCGCCTCGTTAACACTTTGGCCAGTCATGCTGGGAGCTCCGCTCTCGGCTCGCATCCATTCCGGGATCACTCCGAGAGCGCCGAGGTCCCTCCGCGAGTATCTCCTCACCTCGATGTGGCAAGGAAGCGCGCTCGGGTCACGGCTCTGGGGCCTCGTCTTCTCGTCGCACGGCAAGACTGTGCGGAGAGAGGTAAGGCCGAGAAGGAGGAGGGTCAAGCAATGGCCTGTCTGGAGGGCTCCGGAGGAAGAGAACAACAGGAGGAGACGAGAGAGATGCCGCCGCGTGCGGACGCGCGTCATAATCAGCCGTCGATTCTCTGACGACTCGAGGCGCTCTTCCGGTTCCTTCTCATCTGCAACAGAAGGAGGCGAGTCACTAACCGGGCCCGAATTACGATTTATTCATCGAGAGATTGAGGACGAAGCGGTTGGCGTGACGTTTAACCCACTCCAAGGGCTCTTCTCGTGAGACGAGATTCTCGGCAGACCTATTCCGCAAGTTTTAACGACAGTCGTTGTCGTTATCGATAATACGTAATAACGTGGCGTCGTCGTTACATTGTCATTGAGTATAATACACGGGAGAACAGTTACGCGACGTCGACGATGATGAACGACAACGACATTGTCGTTAAAAGTGCCAAGAAACGGAGAATCGGAATTTTTTCTACAATTTTTTTTTGTCCAATTATTTTCTCGATTACTTTCAATCTTTTGAGTAACAATTGACGATATCAAGCTTCGGTGCGTTATCGATTGCGTTGGATGGATGGTGCAAGAAGTACACGGTGCGTCATCTGTTTCGAATTTTTTCGCATCTTCTCGCAAATATTACCGAGCACAATCTATTCTATGACGACGGAACGGTTTTCCGTACTGGAAGAATGACGCGGAGACGCAGCAGGTTTTATCACGTGCCTCTCTATCTGCTCGATTGAAAAAGTGTTTACAGTTTAAGAGATAGATCAGGCAGCAGCTAGCCGTACGAGCAAGTAACTCGCAGAACTGCTTGAGCCTCTCGCGCTATTTATAGGCCAAAAGTTTATCCACTTGTGTTATAGACACCACCACCCTCCGCCCGGCATCGGATACTCTTGTGTATCTCGAGCGAAGAAAAGTTTTCGCTAGGTTTCACCATGTAGAAGTATTTTACATTTAATCTGCTTTCGGGAGCTCGTCTGAGAGGATCACCCGTAAGGAATTGTGCGCGCTTTTGCGACCTAATTAATTATAATCTACAGCTGTTATCGGAATGCGAGGCTCGTGACAAAGCTTGTCGATGTAATTGGAAAATAGTGTAATTTGCTAATGGAAATATTCATACATAAATTCCCGGCGAACCGGCCCGATATCAAAACCCGATTTTCCGTCCGGAAGACTCGACGTTCTCGATTTCAAATAATAGGCTTATCAGAATGAAATAGTAATTTCATTAAATTGGCAGACAAACGCGAGTGAAATTCAAACGGGGAATATTATGTCGCGAGATATATTACTGCGCGCGCGCGCCAGAGAGAGAAAGTGTGTAATATTTACGAGTCGCTTTGAGACTTCGCGTATATATATATATAATATCTCTCTCTCTCTCTCTTTCTCTCTCTCTCTCTTTCTCTCTTTGAAATCATGATAAGAATTTAAAGCTCACCGCATCGGTTCGTTAATCCTACATTTTATGTAGATCTCATGTTTCCGCATGCTGACGGTACAAAACGAACGAATAATATGTAGGTTACGAAATATATAAAACGGAGACATCGAAGATTTATGCGCTTTTGTATCATTACTGGATCGAAATTAGAAATTGATTGTTGATTGTTAAAATATACACGTACAATACGCGGCGTCGTTTAGCGACGACCAGTTTAATATTGAACTTGCATTGAAACGAGTAGCTGAGACGGTTATCGCATTAACATTTATCAGGTTTCGCACAGCAGAATACAGCTAACAACGGCGGCGCGCGTTCCAGGATATACCGCGAGATAAGATTGCGAAAGAAAAAGCGGCCAGAGGCCAACCTGCACTGTCGCGGTAATCTGATTTCCATCGGCAGGTAATGGGGTTTCAAACGAGATTAGAGAAGTCCTCGGACTGGGCGCGTTCAAATTGTTATCTACATCGTTATTACGCGGTTGGGATGGGCGTATAAACTCGGCGAGGTTTATATCGACGTGAAAAATGCCAACGTTCGCAATTACGGGACGAGCCGATGAGAGCCACGGGTAAATGTCCGGTGGCATTTACTTCCCTTTGTCGCGGCCAAAAGATCCATTAAGACGTAATATAGTTACGCGATAGTATCGCGCCGGTAACGCTGTTAGCTTCAAACTCTGTTATAAAGGCACACGAAATGTTTCGAGATATACGACTGCGGAGCGCGCTTCTCGTTTCTTTTTCTTCACTTTTTGTCCTGTTTTCGTTACATCGGGGAGTTCAAAGTCTGAGAGCGCCGGCATCCGCGATGGGAATTTAATAATCGAGTCTTATTACTCCGTTAGGTCATTTTTTGTCTTTTTACTTTTCTTTTTCTGTTTCGCTGAAATCACGAGATACTGCGGGCAACGCCGCCTGCGATCGAAGAAGTCGACGACTCATCTGGCGAAACATACGTTCGTCCGTTCGTTTGCTCGTTTCTTCTCTCAAAAACTTCATCGCGTAATCCGCTTAATGCTAACGCAACGAGGGACGGTATGAGAATAGCGAGAGGCAACTTAACGAGCTCGCTAACTTTCCACTCGGATAATGAAATTGTTGGCCGCACTTAAATGTTTTAAATGCGTATTACAACTTCGTATTACAACTTGACAACGTCTAGCGTAACAAGACGAATGCGATTAATTTTACACACGTGTCCGCTGTATATCATCGACGATCCATGTGCTGCTCGTATAATTCCGCGAAATAATCTTGAAAAGATACAATCTTCAACGTACGAGTGTAAAATAGACGAGACATCCAGCAAATTATTCACGTTGCTTTCACGTTTACAAGATTCGAGAGTTCACGAATGCACAAATAAAATCAAATGGTTTCCAGTAGTTTTCAGTTTGATTTATCACACACACATCGCGGGATTCCATTAAATTTTCATTTATAATTACATCGCGATGTATGTGCGCGTAAAATAACTAAAAGCTCAGTGTCGTGTCGGCTTTCAAGTAGAGTACATACGAACTTGTGAGAGTGAGAGCACGAGAGAAAAGTCAATAGTTGTGGAATATTAACGTTAAGAAAAAAAATAAATTGACGGTGAAGAAATAATAATTATTTTACTTTATTAACCGATCGATTGTTATAACACACGTACCACGTGAAATTCTTTCACTTTCACGCCCTGATAATAAAGGGAATAAAAAATTAGCCGCTATTTCCCGGACACATCACTATTTAATTTTAATTTAATTTTAATATAAATTTGGAATTATCATAAAAAAGGATATATGTTGCTCGCAAGCCCTGAAACGACAGTCGGTCTATGCAAAACAGTGATATACGTCGAAATTTTACGATATTTAAAAAGAAAGAAAAAATCGCACGTTGATCCCTTTTAGGACCCTTCACTACGTGGAGCACAACTCCATTACACCGCGCGATATTAATCATTATTTATTACCCTCTTTTAGTCTCTCTCTCCTCTCTCATTCTCTCTCTCTCTCTCTCCTCTCTCATTCTCTCTCTCTCTCTCTCTCTCTCTCTCTCTCTCTCTCTCTCTCTCTCTCTCTCTCTCTCTCTCTCTATCTATCTCTCACCCTCGATCGTATAAATCTTATTTATGAAGGCCAATTCTGGAATGTCTTATTATTTATCCCGTTTTCCAACGGTGCCGCCTTACCGGGTACGATAAAATCGTTTTATTTCGAGGTTTCCACGGCAAGAGATCGGTGGGATCGGCGCTTCGCCAACAAAGGGGTCGACACTTTCGATTGACATAAGAACGGAAGCCCCTTGTACAGGACTAGAGATCCGCGACGAACCTGACCCACCGTACTCCGCGTAAATTGCGTTCGTGCGTCCCATGTATGTCTCGGTAAAGGGTGGGCGAGTCATTCAATTCGCACGTAGAGATGTCGAGTGATATAAGACAGATGGTTCTAGTATTCCTATAGGTCATCCCCGACAGGAGTCGGGAATACGTGAGGTCTGTCTGTTCAAGAAATGTCTCGGATGCCTCATGGTGTCCGCGATAACGACGTCACCAAGTCAGGAATGGCTTCGAGGGGGCGGCCTTCGCGAGTGAATATTATCCGGGCGTGCAAATTAAATGATACGACTCCACCGCGTCCCGGTGGCCTCGAAATTTCAGTTGGAAATATTCCGCAAAAAATTTGATAAATGCAGAACGCTGCGGAGCTGCTTTATCAGCACTGTTTGGCAGCCCCGATGGGATTTCTTCGAGACCGCGATTGCTAATTGAGTATTTTGGTCCTCAGAGAGAAAGAGAGAGAGAGAGAGAGAGAGAGAGAGAGAGAGAGAGCCCAATTATAAATTGAAAATCCACGAAGCTACATCCAATCATTTTCCACCATCCAATTGCACGAACGTGTAAAACCAAGAACATTGCTTAACTTTCCGCCAAAGTTAAATTATAACAGCGCGTCTGCTGTTTCCCCCTTTCCTCCTGCAAGTATGTTTCACTATTCCGATAAAGTCGCCTCGGGATGATACAATAAAGAGTAAGGAATAATGGAGCTAACCAGATAACTAAAAGAAAGGAAAAAATTATTACGAAAAGCGGATGAGAAAAGTTCAGAAGGGTGAAGAGACACAGATCTTTGGATATCGTCCGGAATTCTTCATTCATCCTAAAGATTGCGAAACGTTACTTCGAGCAAATTACTCTTTCCCCCTTTTTCAAGTGGTAACAACGAATTAGGAGCGGAGGCGGGGAAGATTCCACGAATCTTGAACCCGGCAGCTTGAAAGGTAACCGTAATTCTGGGACGCATTATCGGCGGATGCTTTTAACTCGCGCATCTGCTTCATTTTCCAACGAGCCATCAGTTGACTTCCCCGCTCTGCGGGGTTTTACGAGTAGATGACGTGATATTTAATTTCAGAGCGTTCTCAAAGACAGATGCTCCGATTCGTCAAACTTTACAGACGCAGACAAATGTGTCATATTTCGGAGGAACGGCTGAGACGGAGACCGACCCGGGAGCGAGATTAAATTTGAGTTTAGGGAACGGTCGCCTGGCGAAGTGAGAAGTTAGCCGCTAGGTAATCATGAATTATACGAGAGTTGAAACAGTTCGTCAAATTCCCTGTTTCGTATAACGAGCTGGCGCTATTTCGCCAGCTGATCGACGTTCCTTTCAACGCGGCGTGCGTTGCGCGTGTTTTCCGTTTCGGCGGGCATCGCACGGGGGATCGTCGAATCCGAATCGGCAGAATTATTATTTGGAATATATTCACGTATTCGAGTTAAAACGGAATTGCTATCCCCATCGGAAGCCGAATAATCAATCGACATTACGCGCGCTCAGTGTGTCGGGTCTCGCGCGATATATTCGCGCGATATATTCGCGCGATGAGGGAGTGTAGCAGTCGCTTCTCCTTATATTGGCGAGAAAACAGAAAAGCAAGCGCGAGTAACAAGCCGTCGCCGGGAGGCGGTCCACGGGAGCCGCATATTGAATTTCAACGACTATCCCTCGCACTACGCGAGCGCGCGCCTAGCTTTTCACTACGGTTCGCTTCAAAAAGACTGAAGATATCGAGTTTCCCGACGTCGGCGAGATCATGCCAACGGGAGTTCACCAGGTAGGTGAAGCACGCACGTACCCTCAGGCGCGGGGCACACCGAAATTACAGGAGGGAAAGTCTGAGAGAAGAGGTGGAGCGGCCCTCGGCTTCGCTGATGGTTTTAATTTTCCGCGACGGGGGAAGCGGCTCCTCGCGAACTAAAAGGAGGACCTCGAGCGTGCGATACGCACCGGGAGTGCACAAGCGCGACTACGACGACGGCGGCAACGTTTTCCCGTAACGCATTACATCTTAACGCTAGATTACGCGAAAAGAATAAACATTAAGCGCCCCGTGGAAACGTCGTCGTCTCGTCGTCGGGACGCCGCGCGACAAAACGAATGTCGCGCGGCGTTTGAGTTCGCTCGGAGCAACTGCGCTCAACTCATGCATTCGTCCCGCCGCGAGTTAAATTGTGTTTCTCGCCAGCAGTCTCAGGCTATAATTATAATTTCCGACATTCTGCCGCGCGACGCGACGCGCGCACTATCGGGATGCGGCTCAAGTTTCGCCGCTAATGCGAAACCGTAAATGTGTAATTTACCCAAACCGCGGCTGTTAAGACATCGTTCGGCGAACATTGTCCGGCGATCACACACGGCGAGGTAGAGTCGCCGCGGTATTTACTTAATACGATCATCGAGTGCGCTTTATCGCGCGGAGAGGATCCGTGATATCCGCGGCGAAAAGCGCCTTCGATAAGCGGATCTAGCGGCAAGGCGGTAAGGAGCGATCGGATTAAATGCCGCGTATATACTTGCAGCGAGCCTCAAAGGACAAGTCGTAATGCTCCGGACTCGTTTAAGTCTGGCGGCCTGATCGAAGCGTGCGCCTCTGAGAGGTGTGAAATAATAAAGCGAACGAGCAGGCGAATTACCGTAGAGCTGTGCAGCATTCCTCACCAGGCCACATTTCTCTCGAGCACGGCCTCACCAGAAATTCATTCCTGCGTCCCTCCAGCGATTTCCGCGATCGAAGTCCCTCTTTGCGATCCGATCGGCCCGGCACGCCGGATTTCGTTCTCACCCGCGGCACTCGCATCGGAAAACGCCGAGGGGGAGTGCGGGCTGGGCAGGATACTCTCCGTTGTCACTGTTAGTCACCGGAGTCTCGCCACCAGTGTCAAGCTCCGGCAGGGGAAGGAAAAAGAAACGGGGGGCTGGAGACGTCTCCTTATCGACGCGTGATATCGAATCGAGCGTTCACCCTCCCTCTTGATCCCGCGGCCGGAAGATCAAAGAGGGACGATTCCTCCTTATTTATTGTCCAGCCGTTTGTCCGGCGCACCGAAAATGTCCGTGCCACTCGCGGCTCGCGTCAGCACTCGCAGTGAGAATTGCACTCGGCTGCCATTTGTTTCGATGCGCTCTCCCTCCCCCTCGTCCCCGCCGTCGATGAGAAATCGTCGCTAAGCTTCTTTATCTGCGCGTCCAGCGTGTGCATTCGCGCGACACGTCCAATTTACGCACCGGCGACCGGGATATTCAATCGCGCTCTCACCCTTTAATCCCGGAGGATCACCCTCTCTGATTGTCCCACGGGGGCGATTGTGTCTCGGGATTATCTCGACAGCCGCCGAGCAGTGGTCCGTTCAGGACGATTAAGAAGTCGCGACCGACGGGCCCACCACACGCCGGTGCATCATCATCATCATCATCATCGTCGTCGTCATCGCGTAGCCGTGTATTCTCGCTAACTCGACGTTAGCGTGTCAACATGTCGCGTCTCAGCGGAACCGATGAGGCGTCCGCGGCCGCGGCCACGGGTCATTCAGTCGAGATCGCGATCGAGATCGTTGCGATCGGTGAGACAGCGGCAGACGCTCTCGGGAACGCGGGCGCGCGCGCGCGACAATTCGCACTGTGCACTGACTCTATATCGTTTTCGGGCAAGTTGACACCCGGCCGGAATTGCGGGCGCTCAATTTGGCGGGCAGATTAATGGAATGACACATCGCGTCCCTGGAGTTTGTCTCGGGCATGGCGTGTGTGTACCTCCGCGCGTTCCAGATTGCTATTGTTCGCTCCTTTTTCCCTCCCCGGCGCCATCGGCTAGTGCAAGCGCACCACGACGACGAGCACGACGACGATGCGATGCGATGCGCGATGAGATACGACACGGAACGACCGCCGACGAATTTTCGCCCCGGCGAAACTCAGGCCCAGCCGGTTGATTTTCTTTCTCCCTTTTCTCCTCTTGCTTCCCGTTCTCTCGCTCCGCTTGCCGCCGACTCGAGCCTTCGCTTCTTTCTTTCTCTCGTTTTCGAGCCGGTGCTGCCGATCTCGGCTCGCTGTCACGCTCGACGGAGGTGTCGTGCAGCGCGTCGTGTTGAAGGAGCAGCCGCGTCGCGTGGTGGCGGTCCGCGCACTGTTGCCCCGTGATATTCGCCAACCCTTGTGTGCCACAGGAGGAGTTTTCGCGGCGGTACCGGCAATGCGCAGTCGCTCGTGCTTCCTACGAGCTACGACGGCTACGATGTTCGGCAACGCGACGAAGGCAGAAAGGCAGGCCGCTGTGATCCTCACGTAGATCCTCTCGATCCTTCTCTCATCATCGCGCCAGCGGAACCGCCGCGCAGCCGGTTCCGCAGGATGCGCGCGGACATTATGACACCACGGACATGTCGGACGTTAACATATGCGCTCGCGCCCCGTCACTTGCTCAGCTCCGGCTCGGCGAAGTTTTCCCCCGTCGACCCCGCGACAGTCGAGTTTTCATCCCCCGACCCTGCTCGGCCCCGCGAGCGGATTCACGCTCTGCCGCGATTCATCCCGCGCGGACTTTCGAGACATGCGGCTGGTTTAACAATCGAGCTTCACGTTGCTCGTGAAGGGGCGAGAAATGATGATGTCGTTATCGTCGTCATTTGAATCCGCGCGTTTGTTTGCTCGGAACGAGCGAACCTCCTCGCCGAGTCTCGCGATTTGTTTCACTTAACGGGGCAATTTCTTCATCGAACGAGAGCGACTTAAGTGCGTGTGCATTATAGATATAAATATCAAAGGTTGCGCAGAGGACATCTTTCATTATTCAGCGAGCACTCCCTTGGTATCCTCGCGGTCAAAGCCAACCGAGATGGCTGACTTGATTGCCTAAATGTCCCCCGATGAAACTCCTCAATTACCGCGGCCATCACGCGGGAGCTTTTCCTCTTAATCTCGTGACGATTAAGTTCGTCCTGATGTAGGAATTCGCATAATGAGAAGTGACCTCCGCGAAAGTTCCGGCTTTCCGGCAGTCGGAACGATTTACGGCCGTAAGAGAGACGAGAGACGAGACGCGAGACCGAAGTTAATTAAGTAAGTAATAAACTTCACCGCTCTTCTCGAGATGTCGAGAAACGTCCGAGAAACCCGCGTCGCCAATGTTGATCGTCATTTGACGCACGCACGATGGAGCACGCATAATCGCGCACGTGCGACCACGATAAATCTCGTTCGAAGATCGAGAGAATAATTCACCTCGCTCCCTTGGCGGCGACGAAAAGACCGCGCGTTCTTTTCAATCCGGAAACGCATCCGTCCAGCCCTCCGAAGAATGAGCCGCGCAAGTTGGATTGTTCTCGCGTTCGCTCCCCTATTCCCACCCTCATGAATCCGCGCCCGCCGGCGGTCATACTTTCTATGACTGAACTTTTGAATTGCCTGCGAACGACAAATAGCGAACTTCCCGGCAATTACCCTTGAAGAGTTGGCTGCAATCGACGCGCACGCAGTTCCTGTTTAACGAGCAAACGCAAACGCCGGGGTGCAACGTCGAAATGTAGCGAATTTTGACCCTTTCGTGCGGCGAGATGAGTCACCTCCCTGGCGACTTGAGTCACATTAGTGCTTTAAATGGGAAACGTCTGTTCGCGTAGGAAAGCACGCGCGCGGTCATGTTTTACAACGGATATTCCGGGGGGCTTTTGCGGAATGAGATGAAAAACAGACGCTGTAAGCAACGAAATGTATTTCGCCGAGAGAGAGAGAGAGAGAGAGAGAGAGAGAGAGAGAGGGAGAGAGATAAATAACAAAGGAATGTAGAAGCTCGCAGCGTTAAAGATGTAAAGTTAAAGTAGTCCCACGCAGGTTGCATCATCTCGCGTTTCGCCCGACACCTTGCTGCGAAAATATAGTTGAAATTTTCTGAATGCAAATCTCAGAGCGAGTAATAGCGTATGTAAATTGAGGCGAGCTCGACGTGCGAATTGGTCGGAACGAGTAACTTTCCTGATGAGAAACGTGCGTCCTCGTAACCGACGTAACTGACGCCGCCCCGTCATCGCCGAAAGGGCCGTGATGCGTTATTTCTATCAGCGGCGTTACCGCGGAAGCGTGTAAGCGCATTATCGGTAATCGGCTGCATGCGCTTAATTAATAAGATTATGACGAATCTTCCGTTCATCTTTCGGCCGACATAATGCTTTAGTCTGATTAAGGCAACAGTGAGAAAATACGCTATATACCATAATGACCGCCTCGGAACTTCGCCTTTATTCGCTCATTCTGAGCGCGGAATGAGCAGCTCCGGCGAAAAGGGCCGAAAAATAAAGTTCTCATTTGGAACGGCTGTATGTGAAACGAGGTTCTCCGCTTGAAATTTAATTAATTATCAGATCGATGCCTGCCGGGAAATCTTGGCGGCAAGGAAGCTTTTTATCTCCAACTGATTCGCAACGATTAAATGACGTCGGCGAGCGCTCTAGCGGCTTTCGTCGAGTATATATCGTCTCTGGACCTTTAAGGATTTCGTTAATGAGGGCCACCGACGGAATCGATCTCGCGTTTTCACCTCGCTTTCGATTACGGACGATATTCCGTCGGCGAGACGGCTCTATATCGGCATCGTCCTTACATCCTTAATTGGATTCGCGAGCGGTCCTAAATCTCGCGAGTCAGCGCTTGAAATATAAATACCGAGCGTAGGCGGAATTACACGGAGGACAAATTTCCTCGCGGAGTCTAAGGAACTCTTTAGTCCCTTTTCCCTCCTCCCCTTCCTTCCTTCCTTCCTTCCTTCCTTTCTTCTTTTGAGTTCGAATGCTCCGCGTCGATCGAGTTTAACGTTTCTGTTTTGCCCCCAGCTGATCATATCAAGCGATATTACGTAGATCCCTCCTTCACGGAAGGCACGACCAGGATAACGAGGGACGACCGGTTCATCGGATAGCAGTAGCCTTTGTGTAGCTCCTGAACTTGCAGGAGTCCAATTTGCCGGACATGCTTCCGGCGAACGTGTAGATAGCCGTTACGTGTGTCCGATCCTTACATTACGCATCGAACGATCATGAGACGACTATTCATAACGCCGCTGGCTGGGTGGCACGCCAAATAGAACGAATTACCCGATGGTCACCCAAATGCTCGAGTTGGAAACACCTTCGGCTCTAGATACGTGTTTAAATCGCCGCTGCTCGGATCGCCGTTGTGTACGTGAGATCAAACTAGATCATTTACGCGCGCGACGCATGCTTGTATATCTACGATCTCATTTCTCCGATGTAATTTCGAGACTCAATACAATGATAATATCCCATTCGCGTGATTTCGCGAGAATGTTTAAGAAATCCCGAGATAAGAGTTTAATATGAAAGAATCACAGCGTACCATGTGACGAGAGAGAGAGAGAGAGAGAGAGAGAGAGAGAGAGAGAGAGAGAGAGAGAGAAATCAATTTGCCGCGCTCGAGAGCTCGAATCGAGTGAGCTCGCTATTCCGGATTAGCGTCTTCTTTCGGGAATTGGGAACTCCGGACCGCACGATGGAATATTAATATAATCTGCGTTGGCAGAATAATAGGAAGATTACGAAATAACAGCCCCGTAACGTCGAATTAGTTCAGATTCGCCGAGTCTGTTTTCGAGTTAGCCCGGGCCGCCCGATTGCATCGCATCCCAATGGCGAAATCGCGAAATTCGCCGAACTGCGCCCGCTATTGAGAGCCAGCCACCGCAGGATACCAAGAATATCATTTCCCGCTGCGTCGCGAGCATCTAACACCTTCATCGATCGTTTATCGCCGTGTCGCGGCTCCCGATAAGACTACGGCGGACTATCTTTGCTGTGCACTACGCGCGAATGCGTTCGTTGAATGGATCGACTGTCCTGCAGGTGCACACACAGTCGAATACGCTTGGCATCTGCTTTCGGCATTCGTTAAAGCGCCCGGTATTTGCCGACGGTATGCTTGCGAGACCGTAAATAACATCATAATGAAAATCGCACCGCAGACAATCGGTAAATGTCATGTAAATTAACCCGAAACCCGCGTAATACAATTAGGATATTTCAAAGAGCGAATTGCTACGCGATATGATGTAAATTAAACGCGAATTAAATAATACGGAATTCGATGATACATATTAAAAATATTTTTAGTGCCCTTTGCACGAGGAGAGACGCGCCGAAAGGGCGCATCCACGAATTATTCCAGCGTGTTGAGCACGAAAATGAAATGAAAGAAAAGCCGGGCGCAAAGGTATGCGAAAATTCTCGTATACCTTGCGCCATCGTCGAATTTCGAGTGAACAAAGCGCTCGTCCCGCGAATTTTGCAAAGCTCGACGGTCATGAAGTTATCCGTCTCCCGCGCGTAAATATACGGTCTACGAGTAATCATCGTCTGAGCTGCGCTTTTGTTTTCTTCCTCTTGCCATTTAGATTCCGGCACGATTATTCATCAGGCGCTGCGAGAGTGATCTCAATCGGCGCATAAATCACGAATGCCACAAAATCCTCGAGGAGTCTTAGCGACTAATCCGCTTTTATTGCGGTTACCCTTTCATCGGTATTCGTCTAATTCGAATTTTCCAGCGACCCTCGTATTCAAACGACGCTCATTCATCGCGTTACTAAACGACGTAGAGGAAGTGCAAGAATTGATTTTCTCCATCGCGCAAAGAGAAAAAGAGAGGGAGAGAAAGAAAGAGTCTCACGTGCCTTTGGTATGATAACGAGAGTCAAGTACGAATTAACTCGTACTTTCGGCGACATCGCAAATATTTCGGCGACAGATAATCGTCGTGACGTTGGACGAAAACGTCATTCTTACTTTTTCAGATTAAATATTTGTCATTAAAAGAGGCTAAAGTAATGGGCACTTTAATGGGTGGTGATTTTGGTGTTGTGATAAAAACGCGAAAAAAATGAAAAAGCGGCTGGAAAAATCCGAGACAATAATGCCATAATCTCAGGTGTGAATAAAAACAAAAATACGAAGAGCGGACGACTAACCAACAGATGCAAATTGTGAGCTCGGATGATCAACGATTTTTCGATAAAAACTGAAATGATTTTCTGCCCACCGTGGATGTCGATTTGAGCGTGTCATGCTCGTTTTTATAGCTTTCCAAGTTTTGACACGCCGCATCTCTTGCGCAGCTGTGTCAGGAATTCGAGAGTCGAGAAGTTCTCACAGCCAAGTTCACCTGAAATTAATTCAAG